TTTTTTGACACCAAGGCCCACAAGAAGACAGAAAGAGCACAGAAGAGACAAGGCCCACAAGAAGACAGAAAGAGCGCAGAAGAGACAGAAACAAAGCGAATCAACTTAAGATGAGAGTTGTTTGACAGGCGAAAACAAGGCAAACCAACTTACAAGGCATGGAAAGCACATAGGAAAACCAACCAGGAAACCCAGCATTACGAAGCCAACAACACGAAAATCACATTGGGGCCTAGAGCCAGTTTTTTAGCAACAAGGCTCACAAAGACAAAGAACCAAGGGTAACCCATTTAAAAAAGATGGAGAGCACCTAAGGCACAAAGAGCACAGAAGAGACGGAAACAAAGCAAATCAACTTAAGATGAGAATTTTTGGACACCAAGGCCCACAAGAAGACACAAAGAGCACAGAATGGACACAACCAAGGCAAACCCTTTTGAAAAGAATGGAAAGCACATGGGAAAATTGACACGGCAACCCCAAAAGTATGAAACTACGCTTTTGGGCAGACAACGCACTGGATCAAGGCTAACCTACTTGAGAAGAGGCGAAAACAAGGCAAGCCAACTTAAAAGACATGGAAAGCACATAGGAAAACCAACCAGGAAACCCAAAAATACGAAGCCAACAACACCAAAATCACATTGGGGCCTAGAGCCAGTTTTTTAGCAACAAGGCTCACAAAGACAAAGAACCAAGGGTAACCCATTTAAAAAAGGTGGAAAGCACCTAAGGCACAAAGAGCACAGAAGAGACGGAAACAAAGCAAATCAACTTAAGATGAGAACTTTTTGACACCAAGGCCCACAAGAAGACACAAAGAGCACAGAATGGACACAACCAAGGCGACGGAAACAAAGCAAATCAACTTAAGATGATAATTGTTGACACCAAGGCCCACAAGAAGACACAAAGAGTACAGAATGGACACAAGCAAGGCAAACCCTTTTGAACAGAATGGAAAGCGCCTGGGAAAATTGACACGGCAACCCCAAAAGTATGAAACCACGCTTCACTAAGAGGTGCATGGGAGGCGCAAAGAGCACAGAAGAGACGGAAACAAAGCAAATCAACTTAAGATGA